TTATGCCAGTATCATATTAACTATGGCTGCTTTGTAATATATTTTGAAATCATTAAGTGTGATGCCTCCAGGTTTGTTCTTCTTTCTCAAGGTTGCTTTGGCTATTCTGGGTCTTTTTTTGTTCTATATAAATTTTAGGATTATTTTTTCTATTTCTGTATAAAATGCTATTGGAATTTTGATGAGAATAGCACTGAATATGTAGATTGCTTTGGTAGTATGTCATTTTAATAATATTAAGCCTTTCAGTCCATGAACATAAAGTGTCTTTTCACTTTTTTATGTTGTTTTTTTTTAAGATTTTATTTATTTATTTGAGAGAGAGTGTGTGTGTATGAGAGAGCACAAGTGCAAAGGGAGAAGCAGGCTGCCCATTGAGCAGGAAGCCCGATGCCGGGTTCCATCCCAGGACCCTGGGATCATGACCTGAGCCAAAGGCAGATGCTTAACCAACTGAGCCACCCAGGCACCCCTGTGTTTTCTTTAATTGGTTTCATTAGTGTATTATCATTTTCAGCGTACAAATCTTTCATCTCCTAAATATTTTGTTGTTTTTGATGCTAATGTAACTGAGAACATTTACCTAATTTCCTTTTTGGATAATTCATTGCTAGTGTATGGAAACACAAATGATTTTTTAAAAAAGATTTTATTTATTTACTTGAGAGAGAGAGAGGGCGCACAAACAGGGGGAGTGGCAGAGGAAGAGGGAGAAGCAGGCTCCCTGCTGAGCAGGGAGACCAATGCAGGGCTCAATCCCAGGACCCCAGGATCATGACCTAAGATGAAGGCAGATGCTTAACCTACTGCACCATCCAGGTGCCCCAGCAACTGACTTTTGTATGGTGGTTTTTATATCCTGCAACTCTCCTAGATGCATTTATTCATTCTAACAGATATGTGTGTGTGCACGCACATGTGTGTGTAATCATTAGGGTTTTATATATATGATCATATAATCTGCAAACATAGACAATTTACTTCTTTTCCAACTTGGATGCATTTTATTTCTTTTTCATGCCTAATTGCTCTGGCTAGGACTTCCAGTAGTATGTTGAATAGAAGTGATAAGACAGGGTACCTTTGTCTTGTTCCTGATCTTAGAGGAAAAGTTTTTAGTTTTTCACTATTAAGCAGAGGTTAACTGTAGGCTTGTCATATATGGCCTTCATTATGTTGAGGTGTATTCTTTCTATACTTGAGAGTTTTTACATGAAGGGATATTGAATTTTGTCAAATACATTTTCTGCATCTATTGAGATGATCATATGATTTTTATCCTTCATTCTGTTAATACGTTTATTGATTTGCATTCTGGCATCCCAGGAATAAATTTTATTTGATCACAGTATATGATCCTTTTAATATGCCATTGAATTCTGTTTGCTAGAATTTTTGTCCCAAATTTTTGCATCTAGAATTTTTTTAGATTTTTACATCTATGTTCATCAGAGATATGGACCTGCAGTTTTGTTTTCTTGCAGTGTCTTTTTCTGGTTTTAGTATCAGTGTAATGCAGGTCTCATACCATGAGTTTGGAAGTGTTGCGTCTCTTTAATTTTTTGGAAGAATTTGAGAAGGAATGGTATTAATCCTTTACATGTTTGATAGAATTCACCAGTGATGTCATCTGGTCCTAGGCTTTTCTTTGTTGGGAGGTTTTTGATTACTGATTCAATTTCCTTACTTGTCTATTGGTCTGTTCATATTTTCTGTTTCTTCTACCATATGATCCAATAATTCCATTCCTGAGTATATATCCAAATTGAAATCAGGATCTCAAAGAGATATCTGCACTGCCATGTTTATTGCAGCATGATTCACAAAAGTCATGATTTAGAAACAATCCAAATTACCATCAACAGATGAATGAGTAAAGATAATGTGGTAGATTCATACAATACAATGTTATTCAGCCTTAAAAAAGGAAGGAAATTCTACCATTTGTGACATCATGCATAGACTAGAAAACATTATACATTTTTCAAGCATTTAAAAAGAATGCATTATCTATACCTCTACATTTTTATCAAAATTCATTTTTAATTTTAAATGTCCTTTTATCTAAGTAACAATTGCTTTGAAGCAAAAGCTAAAGTGTTAATCCATGCATTTCTGGCCTTACAAATTTAACTGGGTAACAATTGCATTATCTAGTTCTAATTGCTTAAAAGTCATGTGATAGGCCAGTTGCACAACCAGAGACATGTTCTTACTCTGACATTGTTTCACTTAGTTCAGCATCACTTTTTCTTTACAGCATCTGTCTTGCCCAGACAATTCCTAGGGATTTCTGGAATACAAAATCCAGGGCCAAAACTTATCCTGGCCATCCAGGCAAACATGGGTCCCAAGAGCCTGAACCTGGAGGGGACAGAGAAATTTTCAGGTTTAGGTGCCAGGTCTGGGGAAGTCTGCAGTGAGGGCTAAGACGGGCTGCAGACAGAAAGGAGTAGAAGGTGACCCATAGTCACCGCAGCACCTCTTACCTGCTGTGGTCCCCTCACGATGATTATCCTCAGGGCAGACACTGAAGACCAGTTTGGGGCTTTCATGAGATTTGGTGTGAGGAACAGGAGACATCATATCACCATGGAAAACATTATGCCTGGAAATAAGTCAGTCACAGAAGAACAAATCCTGCATGATTCCTCTTATACAAAAAAATCTATGTTAGCCCATAGTTAACAGGGTGCTGTGCACTTAAAAACTTGTTAAGAAGGTAGATCTCATGCTATGTGCTCTTACCAACAAGAACAACAACAAAATCAAGGGGACACAAGAAATATTTTAGTGGTAATAGATATGTTTATTATCTTCTTTGTGGTGACGGTATATGCATATGTCTAAACTCCGTAAGATTTATACGTTAAATATATGCAACTTTTTGTATATTCAATTTGTCTCAACAAAATTGAAAAGAAAGAAAAAAAGAGGATGAGCACAAAACAAAACTGAGAATATCAAGTGTTGTCAAAGATGTAGAGCAACTGGAATTTTCATTCATTGCTAGTGAGTTGTAAATTGGTAAACCAAAACACTGTGTGGCAGGGTCTACTAATAGTGAATATATGCATATCCGGTGGCACAGTAATACTACTTCTAGGAAAATCAAATGTGTAACTATGTGCATCAACAGAGATCTACAAGAATATTCATAGTACTATCACTTGTGGCCACCCCAAACTTCAAACAACTTAACGTCAAGCAATATTAGAATAAATAGAGAAACTTTGGAAGTATATACAACAATGAAAACAAACTACTAAATTTTTAATATGAATCAATATTACAAACATATTATTGAGCAAAAAGAACCACACAAGAGTACATATTACCTGTGTCCATTTACAAAGGTTCAGGCAGGCAAAACTAATTTTGGTGGTAAAATTCAGAATAGTAGCTATTTGCGTGTAGGAATGCAATGACTAAGACAAGTATGAGAAGAGATTCTATATTCCTGGTAAATTTTCAAAATCTTGGTCTAGGAGATGCTTACACAAGCTCATTCATTTTCCCACCAAGACATACACTCATGATTACTGCACTTCTTTGCACACATGTTATCCCTCAAAAATTTTTTCACACTGATCAATTCAGAAATTTTTTTAAATTATATTTTTTCTATTTTAGCAAGGGTGCAGGGAGTTGCTCATATATTAGAGGTAGGAATGTAAGTTGTAACAGCTACTTAAAGGAGCAAATGAAAGAATCTACTATGAAGATTTAAAATCTACTATGAAGAATCTACTATGAAGATTCTCTATTCAGCACATTCACTTGCTAGCATTTCTACCCTGGAAAACACTTGGATATAGGTACAAAAAAAGGAAGCATGCACTTAATTTTGAATGTGGCAATGCTTCTAATAGAAAAACAAAAAGGAAATGAAGTACATATCCAAGGGTAAGGAAATCATAAACCGTATCTATTGGTTCCGAGGACTACCATGCAGGATTTTAAAAGAATAAGGTAGATCTATATAGAATTACGGAAAAATCTCAAGGATATAATGTTGATTTGGAAAAAAGGTATACACATATGTAAATGCATAGGAACTAGGAGTCATCATATAGGGACTGGGTTTGTAATTAGTGCCTGAAAAGGATTTTAGCCTATTTGCAACGTTTACGTTTATTATTATGTGTAACTTAATAGCACTTAGAAGTCTCTTTGAAAGACTATCCAACCAGAAAGTAACAGTGGTTCCCTTCAGTAGGCGAACTGAAAGCCTGAGAAACTGGAAGCGGAATAATTTTCACTATATGACCTTCAACACCTTTAAATATTTGAACGATATAACTATAGCATCTATTGGTAAAAAGTTCAGTTAAAACTTAAAGGTAATTTGAATTAAAACAATAATTAAAAGGCGCCCCACCTCGTGGGAAAACATACAAATATAATTAAATGTGACTACTATTAAGATCGGACTGTTAATTATGCGACAGGATCACAGAGAAAGGGGTCTCCTAAATAAGTCTGGGGGACGTGAGGAGGAATCAAAGTGGAGGTGACGCTTGAACAGAGAAACGAAAGGTCCTACTTTTTCATTCCTGGAGAGCTCAGTGCGAGGTGCCTGGGGCCCTGAAATCCAGGCCATGACTGTTTTCCACGAACCGGAACCTAAATCCCCACCAAGAGACTGCAGGAAAGCAAAAGAAGCAGAATCTCCGACACGGGATAGGCGGCTGCTTAACAAAACAGTGTGGGACAACGCTCACTCAAGTACAACCAGCTCGGGGCTCTCAGAACGAATTCCAGGTTTCCACCCTCCCCTCCGGCCAAACCAGCCCGCCCTCTCCCGCCTTCCCGTGTCGCTTACTGGGCAGCAAATGATCGACAGACCCATCCACCAATCGCCGGCTCTGTTACGGGGCACGCAGGCCCCAGCCTAGTCTTTGGTCCCTCGGGCGAGATGAGCCTCTGTGCGTCGACGTCAGCGTGTTGACGTCACGGGCCGGGTACTCGAGGAGAACAGCGGGTGGCTGACTGCGGGCGGTGGGCTGCGCGTCGGCTGCGGGGCTTGGTTCCCCGGTCCCGCCCCGCCAAGCCCCGCCCCTCCGCCCGCGGGCGCAACCACGGAACCGTGGTCCCCGGGCCAGCCTGGGGCGGCCGGCCCGAAACCACCCGATAAGGTAGGCTGGGTTTCTCGTCACCCTATTTGACAGATTGGAAAACTGAGTCACCCGGGACCAGATGACTTGCCCGGGGCTCACGGGAGACCCGTGAACGCAGGCCAGAGCCCGAGCGTCGGGGTGTTTGCCGAGCGCTGCGCGGTCTTCGGGGAGGAGGAGGGGCTAGGCAGGCTGTGTTTATAAAGGATGCAAAAGTGAAGTTGTAGAATGCTGAGCCCCACCTCGTTCCAGTGCTTGGGCTGGGATGCTGGGACTGGATGCAGGTAGTGAGGTCTGCATTTCTTCACCCTGCGGACCCCGAGGAGTCCTCGGTGGGGTCCCACCCCGTGCTGGCGCCATGCGCCCTCCAGAGTTACCACGAATGGTGACTAGGGTGATGTGTGGTTTATACAGACAAGGTCGATCATTGGCCTCTTTTATTCATTAAGAAAATCTGTGTTCAAAACAAAACAAAATTTAAAAAATCAAAGCACAAGTTATGAGTGTTGTGGCCCTAGTTTCATTTCACTGCCTTGCCCACTCATGGTATCCAGCCATATTTTGAAATCTCAGTAGCATGCTTATTTTTGCTTAGGATTTTCTAGAAAGAGATTTTTTTTTCTCTTTTGTTTAAATATGGGTTAAAATTGTGGAACTTTTCTGACCCTTCCGTTAATGTGCCAGTTATTCACCATGTCATTTGTCTTCTATTTCACAGATGGAATCACTGAATTCATCACTTGACTCAGTAATAGTTTGGATAAGTTTAGCAAGGTAACAAAGTAACAGGTCTAATCTCTCAAATATACTGGAATTAGTTCAGATTGTTTACCTCAGAATCTTTGTTGAAAAGGGTTCTGAAAGATAATTCCCATCTATATACCATCTACCCATCCACCCTCTTTCTAAAAGCAGGATCTTCAAAAATAAAACTTTTACTACCCTTGCTTTATTTATAGACTCATGCCTATAAAGTGAAAATGTGCAGTGTACGATATATGCATACATATATAATATTTTCATAAATTCATTCTCTTTAAATCTTGCTATCTTAAACATTGAACTTTTAAGTCTGCATGATTGCATAAAACTGTTGAAGAAGTGAAATTGAAGTCACTTTGGGGAACTTTTCCTTACTTATGTTCACATGATGGCAATTTTAATCATTTGAATTTATTCTTTGAACAGGTTTATCAGATGAATACCTCATATACGCCACATATTGGTTTAAGGTGTTGGAGATTGAGTGCTGAAAAATTTACTTAGGGTTCCTGCCCTCAAAGACCTTCTGTTTTGGTGGAGATACAATAAACATGTAAACAAAAATGACTGTTTTAGATAATGATAAATGATAGAAAAAATAGTTCAGGATAAGGGGATAGAGTGTGACTGGGATGTGGGGGAGAAGAGGGAATTTAGATATGGTGATCAGAGAAGTCTTTGAGGAAGTCACAGTTTAATGAGACCTGAATGTTTAGAATGAGTCAGCCATGGGAAGATCTGGTGGAAGTTTCCAGGCAGACACTGCAGTGCAAAGGAGCTAAAGGAAAAATGGGCTTAGCATGTTCCAGGGGTAGAAGAGAAGCCATGTGGAATGGCGTGAACCTCGGAGAGAGTGAGGTGGGGGGACGTGATCCTTGAGAGGTGGGCATGAGCTGCATTATCTGAACCCCGTGTAGACAGGCAAAAGCCTAGGATTTGTGTATTGCCAAATCCTTCTTTATTTAACGATGCTCATAGACTCTAGCCAGCTCTCTGTTTTATTTTAGTTATGAAATCATTACAGCAATTCATTATATATATTTTTTCACAAGTAGTCTTCTCTCTTAATGAAAATATGTCTTCCCGGGGCGCCTGGGTGGCTCAGATGGTTAAGTGTCTGCCTTCGGCTCAGGTCATGATCTCAGGGTCCTGGGATCAAGCCCCGCATCGGGCTCCCTGCTTGGCATGGAGCTTGCTTCTCCCTCTCCCTCTACTGTTCCCCCTGCTTGTGCTCTCTCACTCTCTCTGTCAAATAAATAAATAAAATCTTTAAAAAAAAAAAAAAGAAAATATGTCTTCCCTCGAGCACTGTGTCCCATGCTGTTTTTTTCCTGTTCATTATTATGTGCAGGACTCTCAGCCTCTGCTTATCTTCAGCTCCCTGCTTTTATCCTTCCTTCCTGTGAGTCCTCCAGTATTGTCTTTATGTGTTCGCCCTTTGGAAAGGACTGGCAGTCAATCCCTGCTCTTCTCCGAGCTGAGTTTTAGGAAACTGCATTGTCAAGTGGATTACCATTTTCCGTCAGAACTTTTAACTGACCAGAGACTTAACGTCTGCCCTTATTTAGTGCCTACACTGTGCCAAGTGCATTACATACATTCTTTCTTTCCAACATATTGCAAAGGTAAATATTACTCCTTCTTGATCAGAAAGGAAGCTTGTACTTCAGCCATCCAGCTAGTACTGACTGAGCATAGATTTGAACACTCCAATTAGCCTGAACCCAAAGCCTAATCCATGTTACTCTACCTCCCTGCTTCCCTGAATACATAGCAGCAGCTACAAATCTCTATTATTTGAAATTATATTTTTTGAAATGGCATTTTAGAGATCATGATTCAGTCCTCTCATTTTATAAAGACGTTATTTATTTATTTATTTGAGACAGAGAGAAAGAGAGAGCCAGAGTAGGGGGAGGGACAGACGGAGAGGGAGAAGCAGACTTCCCACTGAGCAGGGAGCCTGATGTGGGGCCTGATCTCAGGACCCCGAGAATCACCACCCCAGCCTAAGGCAGATGCATAACCGAATGAGCCACCCACGTGCCCCCAGTGCTCTCATTTTAAAGTTCAGGCTGTGGAAGCCCAGATTTTCAAGGCATAACTGGTACCAAATTCTCACCTTACTGATTCTCAGCCTAATATTTTTTTCTGTTATATCTCATAAAAGTTCCATCACAACGGGTTTCTACATATATGAAAATACAATACTTTTTTTGAGAGAGAATGAGTGAGGGCAAAGTCGGGGGTGGGTGGTCTGGGAGGGAGGGGCATAGAGAGAGGGAGAGAGAATTTTAAGCAGGCTCCAGGCTCAGTGCAGAGCCTGAGGCGGGGCTCAATCTTATGACCCTGAGACATGACCTGCAAGAGTCAGACACTTAACTGACTGAGCCACCCAGGCGCCCCTGAGAATACAATATTTCAACATAATGGATTTATTGTCCATAAACTCATACAAGGTAGTAATATTTCTTGGGCTAATATTGCTTTATTTTCCTTCCCTTTTCTCAGCAGGGAGCAGGTGTAAACTTTCTGGATAAATCTTTGATTTTTGTTAGTAGACAGTGGTTTCAAAATGACTATATCTTTTAAAGATTTTATTTATTTGATGGAGAGAGAGCGAGAGAGCATGCACGCAAGCAAGGGGAGCAGCAGGGAGAGGGAGAAGCAGGGAGATGGATGCGGGGCTCGATCCCAGGACCCTGGGCTCATGGCCTGAGCTGAAGGCAGATGCTTAACCGACGGAGCCACCCAGGCGCCCCTAATTGCACACATCTTTGAAAGGGAGTTCAAAACTTGTTACTGAATTCTTAGCTTTAGCCTTGTGCTTAAAAGTATGGGAATATTGCCTAGAGTTGCTGGCTCATACTTTCTCTTAGCAGGTGGAGTTTCTTCCTAGAATTGAGGAAGCCCTTGGGTCAGCTCAGCTTTTTTGGTACTATATAATCATTTAAAAAAATTAAGTAAAAATCAATTCATGAATTTTATGGTTGAAAAATGGGTTACTGTGTTCCTACAATTTAAAAATGCTCATTATTTATTTCCAGGCTTTGCTTATTATGACTGGGATATGGTAGGTGAATAATAGGAAACTTACAAATAGTTTAATTTACTTTCTGGTGACTTCTTGACTCCTATAATGTAATAGGGATTGTCTTTCATTAGTTGAATTAGAGTTATGTTAATGGAATTACTTTCTTTCTTACATGTTGGAAAGTCTTTAAATTTAGGCAAAAGAGAGCTTTTGATCTTTAAGCCATTCACTGGGTATTTTGACTGAGTTTCTCTTCAGGATTGTTCGTGCAACTGATGTCCATGTTCTGAAGATCTAGGCTGTCATGATTTGGTCTCAGACTCTAGCGCCATCCTTCCACCATGAACCCAGTGCCCCAAAGTGAACTGGCTATTTCAACTAAAGTGCCTTTGCTTGTGTTCTGCCTGGAATGCCTCATAGATGGACAGATCCAGCCAAAGTTCTGCCCGTCCTTCCGTGTCCATTTGTGCTGCTTATTTAATGAGATATTTCCTGTATCTCTAATGGAAGCCTTCTCTTTCATAGCACTTTTGGGAGTCTTTCTCTGTGATGCAGTTTACCAATCCTGGTATCTGTGGTAATATGCTCTTTTATACATGGGTGTTCAAATACGTGTGTGCTTGAGCTTAAAAGACACTTAACAATTCATGTTATACATGCAAAGTTTTTTGTAGATTGTAGAGCCCTTTAGTTTTATTTATATTTTTATCATTTCATCTTTGAGAGAAGCACTGTTACGCTTTTCTTGGCTTTGATTCAACAGAACCTCTTTCCTGTTTCAGTTAAGGGTCTGACTTCTGCAGTAACCAAGGGATCCCTTAAGAGGAACTCAAATCTTTTGGTTGTAAATGGCGAAGGCACATTGTCACAAGTAAAAATCGTTGTTGCCTGGGTTTATTAGAAAAAATAAGAGCAATTCCACTTTTGAATATTAAAGATTAGAAAAGGCCCAGAGATCCCAGCTAGGGGTGCGTGTGGTGCTGGGCTAAGAAGCCTGGCCCGTATTCCTGGCTTAAGGCAGCTGGGGCTTGCACTGGCTCTCGTGGGTTCTGATGTCCTGCAGAGCTCTAGCCTTTCTGAGCTATTTCACTTGCTTTGCTTGTTCTCGATCTGGATCTGGAAGGTACCTGTTGCGGTAACTCCACATCAAAGCAGGACCTTTCACCCAGGATCCCCACCTGAGCTGTTCAAGCCTGCAGGATATTCCTGGGCAGGCATTGGGATAGTACTGGGTTTGCTCGTCTAGTTTCAAACCCTTCTCCTCTACTTCTCTTGTCACAGTTTTCCAAAAGAATATCTTGGAACCAGTGGGCATCCTCAGTGTATAAAACTTGGAGTTGAGAGGAATTTGGCCTAGTACCTTCTAAGTTGCGGTAATCACTCAGTCTCATGACCCATGTTTTCCAGGACAGTAGGCTTTTCAAATATTGTGCATTATTGCTCACCCAGGTGTATTCTTGTTTGCTTTCTGTTTTAGGAAAATATAGTCTCATGTTTTTGTTTTTGTTTTCTTTAAATTAACCACTTGCTTGTTGAGCTAGTGATGTGGAATCAGAGTTTCAAGTATATTTTCCTATTTGTGTCGTAGTTAAATTTATTAAGCAAGGCACTCCTGAGCTATTAGAAATTTCTCCAGCTGAGATAGGAACACCAGCCAGTACTTGCTGTGGGCATTATTGCCAAGAACTAACACTTAAGGAGGGCTTCCTCCATGCTAGCTGCTGTTCTGATTGCTTTGTGTCTGGATTGCTCATCCTGTTGACATTTTGGGCTGGATATTTTGTTGTTGTTGTTGTTGTGGGGGCTGTCCTGCAGTATTCCTGGACTCACTAGATGTCAGGGACACCTCCCCGAGTTGTGACAACCAAAAATGTCTCACCGGCCCCAGGACCTGGAGAACCGCTGCTTTGTAGAAATTAATATATTCCTCACAACAGCCCTCTGAAGTACATTGCATTATTTTTGTCCTCATTTTACA